CCGAAATTTTTCTGACTGTGAGAGGGCTGCTTCTTCTGATCGTCCATAATCCAATGGATTGAGTCGTACATTACGTTGACGCTTGCGTGTCTGTGAATAATCCCCAGTTATTCTGACATTTCCCTTCCCTTCTTCTCATAAACATGGAAGCAATCTCTTTTTTCTCTTACAAAACATTCCAAGGACTTCAGCATTGCTACTGCTGTGTTCAAATCGAGTTTAGGATCTTGCAATGCATGGCTTGTTGCATCAACTCTGCCAAGAATGCCATGCCAAAACACAGCATAAATAGCAGTCTCTAACTTGCACATCTTATCATGGAGACCATTGGCTTCATAACATGTTTTGCTCGTTTCATTTTCATCTCTAGCTATTTTAGCAAGCGCTTCACGGATTGGGAGATAACCTTGGACAACTGCTTTCACTGCAACTGCTCGACAGGAACATCATAGGAAAACCAGGTATTCATGAATTTCAAGGAGTAACTAGCCTAATTTCTATCACGCTTCTTGCTGAACATAGTTTTACGTGATGGAAGAGATAAACATGAATTTTAAAGATTGAAAATAATAATAATCCAAATGAATAAGCAAATATATAAAATATTGTAATATGTGGAGGCCCCTGGGCAGCTGCCCACTTTGCCCACTCCTGAATCCGGCCCTGGCTATAAGGTTATTGCCCCCGTTACCTATGTCTTTCTGTGCTGCTGCATTAAGTATTTCCATTCGCTTTTCCCACACATTTACAGCACTTGGTGTCCCTGCAACATCGCTCTTTACAGCGTCACCTTTATCCTCTTGATTAATGGACTGAGCTCGTGATTGCAGTTGATGAACTTCCGGTTTTTAAGACACACCCACGAGCTGGCATTGTGAGCCCCCCACAATTACAGCATTTTGGTATAATTTTCTCCTTCTCCTTAATTTTATCTCCACATACCTTAGATTCATGCATTTTTCCACAGAATCTACATCGAAAATCATTATGGCATTTCCACGCCATGTGCCCCCACTTGTAACACTTATAGTATATTACTGGAGATTCGTCGTAGATATCAACCCGTTTATATCCCAAACATCTCACAAAGACCTCCTCTGGCGCTGAACCTTTGATTATCGCAATTAACTGCGGCTTAGGTAATAGGTCCATCAAATCTAATTACACGTCTCTTGGCCCTAATAAATCTATCGTCAGCCAACACATCCTCGGGGTCAAGGTAAACAGGATAATCAAAAAGAATGATCTTAGTACACTTCCCAATGGACTCGACAGTCTTTTCCATCACTACATTCTCAAAACTTTCTGTAGTTAAATATCTAACAGTTTCCTCATCCTTCACAGTAATATAAGGAATATGTTTACCTTCTTTAAAGAGCACTTGATACCCTTGATGGCGCTTAGTGAGTCTAACTGACCACTTTACCTTATCATGAAAATCCATGCCATTATCCTTGGGGTAGTAAAGACGTGGCCTCCTTGATGAGTTACTAAATTCTATTGTGCCCCTTGATGATGATTCAGTTTTAAAATGAAAGTGTATTCAAGACATAAATTCACTTGTATATGATGTAAGTTTTATGTGGATTCCATCCCATTGTGGTATTTATATGAATGAGGTTGATGATGATTTGGCTAAGCAAGGGTGTGGCAAAGAAATTGTAGAGCATGATTGTATTTTGGGTAATAAAAAAATAAAACCAGGAATGGTAAAAATCCAACAGCAATGGGAAACGGACAATATTCGGGAAATTTTGAACAACCGTAGTAGTAGTTTGAAACATTATGTTCGAGTTTTGAATTCTACAAGTTCTACTTATGGTAAGGCTTCGGTTAAGTATGATACACTGATGAGACTACGCTTTGGATACAAATATTATTAGCAATATATTGAAGGAACTGAAGGCATTCCTTGTAAACTGTGTGGCTAAGTAAAGTCCCATACATTATGGAATATAACTGTTTATTAGAATTTAGGGTTGATGGTATTACTGATATTAGAGATGGTTTGTTATATAATAAACAAAAATATGGTTAAGAATATTATGAAAAAATTCTGTAAGTTTAACATGAGATTATAGATTTTATGCACATCTATTTGTTGTCTACATATCTGATTTATGATTAGTACAATATTAAAGAGCTCTTGCAAAGACTAGTTTTGGGCGGGTTAGTTAGCATGCTAACCAGTTCCTTTTGATGTATTTGTCAATAAATGTTTTGAAATTGAATTTGAAGAGTTGCTGCCATCTAAACCATCAATGGGGTTTACACTCGTTGTACTGATCTTGGTTGAAGAATGATTCACTCCATCAATTTTCTTTCGTTTATCCACCAAGTGGGAAATATTATCATCACTGCTTATACCATCTCTATTCCTCCTTTTAGTCTTCTTTTTGCTATTCACAACTTTAAACAGCTCTTGCTCTTCACATTCACTGCTACTAGACAGCTCCAAATCCGTCAACAGTCCCCAGCAGTACCCTGGGCTAGGGCTACATTGCTGTGTCTGCTGTATCCATCACCCAATTCCGTCAATGTATTAAACGACCTGCTCGTTGAAGCTCTTCCGCCAACCATGACAGTACGTGTCCAGCCAGGGAAGTGTAGGAGAGCGACCTGCACTCCCGTCCAGTACGGCCAAACTCTTGTGAATGTTCACCACCCAATTCCGCCAATGTATTAAACGGCCTGCTCGTTGAAGCTCTTCCGCCAGCTGGAAGACTGGACCATAATAAAACCTATGGATGCTCCACCCCAGTTAAAGAGTTTTAACTCATTTTATTACGGAATTTCTAATTTTCTATTAAGGTTTACGCTCCAATAAATAAATATATCTTTATATAATTAGTTAATATTTATGCAAATAAGAATCTATAAAGATACATCCATAAAATTTAAAATTATGTTCACACTTGTATAAAAATATCTTACTTTAACAATTAAATACAGGCTTGGTAGACATGTATCTCTCGCAAACAAAAGGACTTTAGCTTTGCGCAGTGGCGGTATCGTAACCAATGAGGTTTATCTGAGGTGCGATTATTGCTTTTTGAAAACTTTTCCCAATACCCCGTCTAGTCGTCGTGAAATACCGACGGCAACGACAATTTTTGTTGGCCCGTTCCAGGGCTAAAAATAATGAATTCAATTTCAAAACATTTACTGACTAATACGTCATAAGGAACTGGTTAGCATGCTAACTAGCCCGCCCAAAACTCATCTTTAATATTGTACTAATCATAAATCAGATATGTAGACAACAAATCGATATGCATAAAATCTATAATCTCATGTTAAACTTACAGAATTTTTTCGTAATATTCTTAACCATATTTTTGTTGATTATATAACAAACCATCTCTAATATCAGTAATACCATCAATCCTAAATTCTGATAAACAGTTACATTCCATAATGTATGGGACTTTACATAGCCACACTGTTTACAAGGAATGCCTTCAGTTCCTTCACTATATTGCCAATAATATTTGTATCCAAAGCGTAGTCTCATCAGTGTATCATACTTAACCGAAGCCTTACCATAAGTAGAACTTGTAGAATTCAAAACTCGAACATAATGTTTCAAACTACTACTACCGTTGTTCAAAATTTTCCGAATATTGTCCGTTTCCCATTGCTGTCGGATTTTTACCATTCCTTGTTTTATTTTTCTATTACCCAAAATATAATCGTGCTCTACAATTCCTTTGCCACACCCTTGCGTAGCCAATTCATCATCAACCTCGTTCATATAATTACCACAATGGGATGGAATCCACATAAAACTAACATCATATCCAAGTGATTTTATGTCCTGAATACACTTCTTACATTTTAAAACTGAATCATCATCAAGGGGCACTTTTGAATTGAGAGCAAATAGAGCGCTTTGACTGTCAACAAACCCCAAAACTTTTTTCCTTACAAAGACATTCTTAAGTTCCACACATATATAGCATAAAGTTCAATAGTGGTGCTGGAACTTCTATCCCCAATTCTCTTGGATATTCTTTCTTCAACACTAATACCATATTATAAAAATGCCCCAATAACAATGCCACATCCGGCCTGATTCCCATTAACTGAACCGTCACAGTACATATGAATAACATTTTCCTTATGGGACTCAAATATTTTCTCAAGGAATATTTGCCGTAACTAAAGAGGATTACAGTTTTTTTTTACCTCTATAGCTTAACCATTCTTATAGATGCACTCTCCATGTACCAAGGTTTCAAATAAACTTTGTTTGGCAAAGGCACACAAAACTCTACAATTGTATATTTACACAACACCCGACAAAGTTTTTTTAGTATAAGTATTCATCTTAAAATTACTAGTAATTGCATTAGTAAATTTATCAACAGCAGACTTCAGAGTTCCGGGGGGCTCACAGCGTCCCCCGGGAAAATTTTGAAATTTGAACACTTCTTTGGAGAATTTTGAAGCCATATACAGTTATATTGAGGAAATTAGAACATTGAGAAATTTTTAATTAACTGTATATTTAATGATAATGTACAAATTCCCAACACACACACACACAAAAGTGAGACATGACTGGAGTCATTCATGTGGTATCAAGTCAACCAGCCTTGATATAGCTACTACCGCACATGTCAAAAATTTTCAAGAGACTTCACAGAAAAGAATGTATTATTAGTTATTACAGAGAGATGATTCTTTGCATTATTAATCAGATAAACCTCTACTCAAATAATGGCTCTGTCCAAGAATGCATGTATAGGCTTCTTTAAGTCCAAGGTCAGATAGATTCACAATAAGTATTAACTCAACTATAAATAAAATTGAAGTTTTGCATCCAATAGTAAAACAAATAAACAATTTAATGAATTTGATAAAATTATAACAAAAGTATGAACATGTTGGAAAAAACAAGAATTTTAATAAAAATAACTGCCATCGACCATGGATAATGGATATATTGAACACAAACATTGATCATTTGTAAAATAGAAAATAAACATAATCTTTATTTACAGACCAGGCACTTTACGTGACCTGGCCGCTGCAAAGGTTTTGATCAACTTTTCGAAGTCAATCTCTCTGATGATGTCATATTCGATACTCATCAAAGCCAGGTGGCTGAGCCTATCATGACACATTGTAGTACGAAGTCTGTTTTTAATAAACTTCATTTTACTGAAAGAACGTTCTCCAGAACAATTTGTGACCATGAGCACCAAGTACATCCGTAGCATTATTTCAACATTTGGAAATGTATCTACAACTTTCTTGTCTATCAACAGCTTGTAAAGGTAATGTGCCCTCCCTTTCTCATCATCTTCGTCTTCAAGAAATTGAGTGAAGAATGCTGTAAACTGCACAAGTTCAACTCCAAGTGTTTGATCCAAATAATTTTTGTACTCAGCAGCCAATTTTGCTGCAGCTGCTTCAATTTCGTCACAATTCATTGACTCCAGTTTAGACAAGAACCCGAAAAGTGAACAGGTTTCCTCATAGGCCTTTAACCGTTGATCCAGTGAACTCAGAAACTGATCAATTGCTGGAAGGAAATTCTGAACCCGAAATTTTTCTGACTGTGAGAGGGCTGCTTCTTCTGATCGTCCATAATCCAATGGATTGAGTCGTACATTACGTTGACGCTTGCGTGTCTGTGAATAATCCCCAGTTTCTGACATTTCCCTTCCCTTCTTCTCATAAACATGGAAGCAATCTCTTTTTTCTCTTACAAAACATTCCAAGGACTTCAGCATTGCTACTGCTGTGTTCAAATCGAGTTTAGGATCTTGCAATGCATGGCTTGTTGCATCAACTCTGCCAAGAATGCCATGCCAAAACACAGCATAAATAGCAGTCTTTAACTTGCACATCTTATCATGGAGACCATTGGCTTCATAACATGTTTTGCTCGTTTCATTTTCATCTCTAGCTATTTTAGCAAGCGCTTCACGGATTGGGAGATAACCTTGGACAACTGCTTTCACTGCAACTGCTCGACAGGAACATCATAGGAAAACCAGGTATTCATGAATTTCAAGGAGTAGCTAGCCTAATTTCTATCACGCTTCTTGCTGAACATAGTTTTACGTGATGGAAGAGATAAACATGAATTTTAAAAATGAAAATAAAAATAATCCAAATGAATAAGCAAATAAATAAAATATTGCAATATGTGGAGGCCCCTGGGCAGCTGCCCACTTTGCCCACTCCTGAATCCGGCCCTGGCTATAAGGTTATTGCCCCCGTTACCTATGTCCTTCTGTGCTGCTGCATTAAGTATTTCCATACGCTTTTCCCACACATTTACAGCACTTGGTGTCCCTGCAACATCGCTCTTTACAGCGTCACCTTTATCATCTTGATTAATGGACTGAGCTCGTGATTGCAATTGATGAACTTTCGGTTTTTAGGACACACCCACGAGCTGGCATTGTGAGCCCCCCACAATTACAGCATTTTGGTGTAATTTTCTTCTTTGCCTTAAGTTTATCTCCACATACCTTAGATTCATGCATTTTTCCACAGAACCTACATCGAAAATCATTATGGCATTTCCACGCCATGTGCCCCCACTTGTAACACTTATAGCATATTACTGGAGATTCGTCGTAGATATCAACCCGTTTATATCCCAAACATCTCACAAAGACCTCCTCTGGCGCCGAACCTTTGATTATCGCAATTAACTGCGGCTTAGGTTATAGGTCCATCAAATCTAATTACACGTCTCTTGGCCCTAATAAATCTATCGTCAGCCAACACATCCTCGGGGTCAAGGTAAACAGGATAATCAAAAAGAATGATCTTAGTACACTTCCCAATGGACTCGACAGTCTTTTCCATCACTACATTCTCAAAACCTTCTGTAGTTAAATATCTAACAGTTCCTCATCCTTCACAGTAATATAAGGAATATGTTTACCTTCTTTAAAGAGCACTTGATACCCTTGATGGCGCTTAGTGAGTCTAACTGACCACTTTACCTTATCATGAAAATCCATGCCATTATCCTTGGGGTAGTAAAGACGTGGCTTCCTTGATGAGTTGCTGCCATCTAAACCATCAATGGGGTTTACACTAGTTGTACTGATCTTGGTTGAAGAATGATTCACACCATCAATTTTCTTTCGTTTATCCACCAAGTGGGAAATATTATCATCACTGCTTATACCATCTCTATTCCTCCTTTTATTCTTCTTTTTGCTATTCACAACTTTAAACAGCTTTTGTTCTTCACATTCACTGCTGCTAGTCAGCTCCAAATCCGTCAACAGTCCCCAGCAGTACCCTGGGCTAGGGCTACATTGCTGTGTCTGCTGTATCCATCACCCAATTCCGTCATTGTATTAAACGACCTGCTCGTTGAAGCTCTTCCGCCAGCTGTGACTGTAGAGTAAGGCCGCCCGTGGAAGCCTGTACCATAATAAACCCTATGGATGCTCCACCCCAGTTAAAGAGTTTTAACTCATATTATTACGGTTTTTCTTATTTTCTATTGAAGTTTAAGCTCAAATAATTAGATATTTCTGTTTATAATTAGTTAATATGTATGTAAATAAGTATCTATCAAGAAATATCCATAAATGTTTAAATAATGCTCACACTTACATAAAAATGTCTTACTCTAACAATTAAATGAAGGCCTTGTAGACATGTATTTCTAACAAACGAAGTATCATCAGCTTTGCGCAGTGGCGGTATCGTAACCAATGAGGTTTATCTGAGGTGCGATTATTGCTTTTTGAAAACTTTTCCCAATACCCCGTCTAGTCGTCGTGAAATACCGACGGCAACGACAATTTTTGTTGGCCCGTTCCAGGGCTAAAAATAATGAATATCTGATGGCAAAACATGACTTTCAATTGAAACTACACCTTAACTTGATTCATGTGTGAATAAATAAATTCATCTTAATTAAGGTCTCTTTTTCTAGGGAAATCCGTGGTTTCCATGTTCTCGTGGAGTATTCTGGTTACACTATCTCAAGTTATCTAACTAAATTCGTAGATTACGAACTAAAGTCATTTCTGTGACAGGAGTCATACAAGACACAATTTACGTTTTACATATTGCTCAAGAAAGAAATATGAAATATGACATTGAATCATAAATACACTCCTCTGACTATACTAAGGAATCTAGAACATATTTCTGTAATCTATAATTATACATTATAGTATGCCATTTTATCAATAACCCGTATTTCTTTCTTGAGTAATGTATAAAATACAAATTCTTGTATGGACCCCGTGACATAAATGACTTGTAGTCTGTAATCCACGAACTTAGATAATTAGGTATTGTACTGTATACTGTGCGAGGACCTGGCAAATCAGGAGGGATTACCCTGGAAAAGCTGTTCATGATTACTCACACGAACCATGTCATAGTTAGATTATATGATTGGTCATGTTTTGCCTTCTAGATTCAGTATATTTAGCCCTGGAACGGGCTAACAAAAAATGTCGTTGCCGTCGGTATTTCACGACGACTAGACGGGGTATTGGGGAGAGTTTTCAACTAGCAATAATCGCACCTCGGATAAACCTCATTGGTTACGATACTACCACTGCGCAAAGCTAATAATATAGATGTTGGATATTTATTTATAGATACTTCGTTTCACAAATATTAAATAACTATATCAAGGAATATTTATTCAATATAAATTAGAAATAATAAAATGAGTTAAAACTGTTTAACTGGGTGGGGCATCCATAGGTTTTGATATGGTAAATTGCCAGTTCGCTTTTATAAATGTTTATTTTCAATTATTGTAAAAATAAAAACAAATTTGTCTATAATATATGTGAGATATAGTGGAGATCATTTCGTGGTAATTTTATCTCTCATTAATAATATATCATGGGTTCGAGCGTGGCCCGGGACGTACAAGGAAAAGGTGTTATCCAATGTGACTCTACCAAATATCACAGGTTTCCTCCTGTACTAACACTGGATAGATCATAGACCAACCGCCCAAATGCTAGTAAGCTGATAAGTGTTCAAATGATAAATAAATTTAAAAAACAATAAATAAAAAGGGACTACTTTGTTGCTTTAGTCTACTGTCTGATGATACTCAAAGAAAATGTAAAGTGAAATGAATTTCAGCGTATCTAATGTTAAAAACTTTTTGTTGTTGGTAGCTATATAATGTAAACTGTATACACTCTTACGACCTCCCACCCTCCTATCCTCGTCTACTGTGATGGGTCTGTTACCACGCTGGGCAGCGCTGGGGCAGCTGTGTGGATTCCTGAGCGCCAGCCCCGCAGGAAAATCAGGGTCCACGACTGGGCCTCTTCCACTGACACTGAAAGCATAGCCATCCTCGCGGGCATTCATGAGGGGGCGGCCTATGCTCCCACTGAACGCTGGAACCTCCTTATAATCAGTGACAGCACTTCTGCACTAGCGAGGCTTAAATCCAGGGCCGGATTAAGCTTAACAGGGGCCTGAGGCACAGATCAACTTGGGGCCCCCTACCCTCAAGGTTATATATATATATATATATATATATATATATATATATATATATATATATATATATATATATATATATATATATATATATATATATATATATATATATATATATATATATATATATATATAAATAGCAAGAACAAAATATACCAAAAATTATCAATGATTTCATCAATATTAAGCTTCTGCAAAATAACACATTCAATGTTCATAAGAGACAGAAAATTGAGATGTTGCTAGGACATCGTTGAACGAAGTTCATGTTTTATATGCTTCAACTTCGAGAATGTTTGGATTTGGGGGCCCCTTAGAGTCGGGGGGCCTGAGGCCAGTGCCTCAAGTGCCTCATGGTTAATCCGGCACTGCTTAAATCGCCTCCTCCCCCCTGCCGCCCAACACACCCTAGCCGCCGTCGCCGGGCTAGAACAAACTGATGACATCCGTGTCAAGTTTATTTGGATCCCGTCACACATAGGAATAACTGCCTGTGACACTGTTGATCGACTTGCCAAAGAAGCGACACAAGAAGAAGATATTGAAGCCACCCTCGCCCTCTCCCTGAATCATCTCAAATCTCCCATACACGCCACACAACGAGAAGCATTCGACGAAAATTGGACACACCTGAAACAACGGGGTAGCGTCACACTACGCCACTATGACGCTGTAACCGGTGACGACAACCTCCACTACAAAGAGTGCCCTATGACCTCCTCCTACAGGTCCCCAGCCGTTACCAACACCTCTTCCCTCCCTCAGTCGTGGCGTGACCACCCAAGGGAACAGACGTGCCCATAGGTGCTCTTGGCTTCCCGATCGTCCCACCAAGGTCCCCTCTGCCGGCCCGTTTTGCCAGCATGGGGGGTCGACATAAACGTCCCAGACTAGGCTCTCTCATAGACGCAGACGCAGACATCTCTGATACTGATGCCATTACCATCTCGCCTGGTCATACTGAATCCAACACCCTTCAAGAGTCAGACCCCAGTGATTATGACAGTGACGCTAATGTTTCTATGGGAAACGCTAGCCACAGTGGAAACACCAATGCCATGGACCCTATCACCCTGCCCTCTGCCAAACAAACAAGTAAGCTGAATCTCCACTTCCCCAAGGACTCTCTGAAAACTGTAGAGGAACGCTTTAACTGGATGATGAAGTACTGCAGACAGCACGGTTTCAGCATTGAATTCCGACAAGGTAAGAACCGGAACTTTATCAAGTGTCAGACTCCTGAGGCCTATGAAACACTTAGTACTGTTGGCTTTGACGGGGTCGTCCTGCTGCCCCCCACTGTAGACGCGGATGAATGTTGCCACATCCTAGTGAAACGTTTCCCCTTATACGCTGACATCGAAGATGCGCGTGACTTTAACTCTAG